AAAGGCCTGGTCCATATGAACACTCATACATGTTAGCAAGACTCCTTGCCTCCTCTTTGCAGTGCCATTTGCACATATTCTGCATACACTTTCTTCTGTTTTGCCATTTCCTAAGATTTTATATTTTTCATTTGTTTAGCTCTATGAAGATGATAATAGATTTTTATTGATCAAACTCCATATTATCTCTCCAGGTAGTCAACAACTCTGAGTAGTTTTTTTGTTTTGATGATATTCAATTTACAGTAACACATTTGTCAAGGAAGGAAGGGATTCCTGTGCATGGAAATAATGTTCTCATTGGAACCAGCATTCTTCCAAAACTCTTTGAGACATTCCTGTTACCTGCCATTTGGCATCAATAGCACATGGCAACACATTCCCATTACACATATCTCAGCCAAATTTATTCACGATGAGACATCCCCATCACCTATATCTGTTGTGTAGATATTCCACAATTGATTGAAACATTAGAAAGAATTCTATTGAAAATGGATGAATTTATAGAAATCTAAATGAAAACATACATGTGCATTTATAAATGTGAGCAAGTATTGGAGGATGTATGTATACACTTCTCTGAATCCAGATCTGGAGTGCATTTATACATGCACACTGGTATCTGAATGCAAAAAAAAAAGATTAAAGAATAATTTAATTTTATGTAAGACAACAATTACTTATTAACTATGCAACTGTGCACTCTATAGATCTGATGACTGTTTGAAGATGGAACAAAATATGAAGAATAAAATGAAGAAAATTTATTAAAGGTGATTTTTTTTTCTCAAAATCTATATTTTTTTCTCTTCAAATAACAATGAATATTTTATAGTATAGTTCATCATGTAGCAACAACAAACTCTACTTTAAAAAGACATATATCTTTTCTATAAGATTAGAATTACAAAGCCTAATTTACAAATTGCGGTGAGTGTAAATTAGTCATAAATACAGTTCAACAAATACGGTAATATATTAGGCACTGAAGGTATAGATTTAGCGTACATGATCATAATTCATTCTTTTCCTGCGAAGTCTGTTTATAGAACCTTTGCATGTGTCCTATGGCTACTTTCACTTGCACCTCAGGTAGTAGTCTTTTTTGGTTCTAATAGATGCCCCTTTTTTTTTTTATTGCTGAAGCTTTTATTATATTTTACTTTAATAGCTTTTAGTGTATTTATATTTTTTTATTGCTGAAGGGTCATTGAGTATTTTATGCCAACTTTAAATTTTGGGAGAAATGTTGAAGTCATTGCTTATATTAAATGTTAGTAGTGCCAGTATTTGTATTGTTTGATTCTGAGTTTACCCGTTGAAAGATGTTTACATTAAAATTGAGGCTTCTGCAGGTCAGTGTGAGTATTGTATTTACTGATTATACAGTCAGCATACCTCTAACAATTTTATGTTTGAAACATTGCGTAAGCAGTTTTACCTTGTAATTATATAATTTCATTAATATCTTAATGGAATCAACAAAGGCTATATCTATATTTACTGACAACTTGACAATCATTTGCAAAGTCTGGTGTATAAATGCTTAAGAATTGAAAGAACTAACATAAAAGACATGAGTTATATATATTCTATATATATTTTTTTTATAATTTATTTTCCCAAATTTTATTGCAAGTGAGTAATCAACAAAATTTCAGAGTTCAAGGGCAGTAACTAAGTAGTCACATTTAGCCTTGTACATAAAAAAAAAAACATGAATAACAAGAAAGAGGTCATGGTTAAAATATATAGATACAGGATTTACTGTGGGAGACTTGCCAGTTCATAAGATTTCTTGCATATGATACCAAGATACTGAATTACTGTTGAATCTTTATATATCATCATGTCAGTTAAAGCCTGCAAACTTTGCTGTTGATAAAGCTATAGATCTTGCCATTGTTAAGATATGCCCAAGTGCATGTAGTCTGGCAGGCAGTCGAAACAAGTTATTCTGGTGTATCAGGTTTCAGAAACATTTCCAGAATTGAGGTCCTGCTTTGTTTTTATCTTTATTGTTTATATTGCTATTTTGATATTTAGTTTCTTTTTATAGTGTATGCCTCCATCTGCATATGAAGTTTGTTTTATATTCTTTTAGTCCTAAAGTGGCAGGTAGTAATATTTGTTTTAATACATGCAGAATTGAAATCTCTTTATGATTCATATTACCTGATGCACAAAATGCAGTACTATATCTATTTGTAAAAAAAAAAAAAAAAAAAAAAAAAAAAAAAAAAAAAAAAAATATATATATATATATATATATATATATATATATATGCTCTAACAAATGATATAGTTAGAAACAAACACTGTGATTAGTAATACTTTCATCAAAGGTGACTTTTAATATTTAATGTATATACTTAACATTTATTTATGATTTTTTATGTAGTATATTTTGATATTAATTTAAGTATATTTTTATCACCTGTATTATATTATGATTTGTGCTTTAATAAAATTTTGATGAAAGGCTTATTGTTTGAAT